GGTTTGATCCCTGGAGGACCAGAGCTGGGCCTGTCTGAAGGTAGGTGGGGAGAAACCCGGGAAGTAGATGAACTCCTAAGGTCCCGTGGTTTAGGATGCTAGATTATTATAGTCAGAGCTGGGGGACGAGGGAATCCTCCTCCTCCTGCCATCCCAGGTCCCTGGGTGCTCCACAGGTACACAGGCACCCAACAGAGCTTCTCTTCCAGGATCTTCTTGCTCACTGACCTTTCCTCCTTGTCTTTGTCTGACAACCTTTCATTGCCTTCTTGTTACCTGGTTCCTTCCTGGACCCAGGATCATAGAGAAAAGGAGAACAGTGAGTAGAATCCTGACCTTTATTCATATGTGGGGGTGGGGAGAAGGAAAGGGAAGTGGTGAGCTTATTTCATCATTTATTTATAGCCTCCCCTGTTTCCCACATGGGTATGGGGAGGACAGAAGTCCCCTTTTTGGAAACCAGTCCACAGAGCAGCAGCCCTCCTAGTTATCAGGCCAGGAGTAGGAGAAAGAATCATTCTGGCATTTGTCTGTTGGATATTTTTAAATGTGAGCATTATTGGGATGAGAGACAGTTTTAGACTGGTGGACAAAGGCATAGCTTTATGGTTTACCCAAAAGAATTGAAAACAAGTGCTCAATAAAACTTGTACCATAGTGTTCTTAGCTGCACTATTCATAATAGCCACAAAGTGAAAACAATCCAAATGCCTATCAACAGATGAATAGATCAACAAACTGTGGTATACCTATCAGTGGGCAGTTACGTGTTGCAATAAAGAGGAATGAGGTCCTAATGTATGCTACAACATGAAAGATCCTGGAAAACATTATGCAGAAGGAAAGAAGGCAGACAGAAGGCCCTAGATTGTATGATTTCCTTTATGTGAGATTTTTGGAACAAGAAAATTTACAGAGAGAGAAAGCTCACAGGTGGATGCCCAGGGATGCAGGGAGAAATGACTGGGGGAGTGACTGCTGATGAGCACAGGGTTCATTTTGGAGTGATGAAAAGTTCTGGAACTAGATAGTAGTCATGTTGCAGAAAATTGTGAATAGACTGAACGCCACTGAATTATACTCTTTAACATGGCTATAATGATAAACTTTATGTTATGAGTACCTTACCACCAAAAAAATTAAAGAAATTTTTTTTTCTCAGGGGTGGGGGACATAGACATAGTTGTTCCTAGGTTCTATCACGTGCCAACTGTGTGACCTTAGACAAGTTACTTAAACTCTCAGTTCTCTTTTCCTCATCTGTAAAATGGAGATAATTATAACAGAACCTACCTTGTAGGGTTATAAATTTTCAGTGAGTTGAAATAGGCAAAGAGCACAGTACCTCTAGTAAACATGCTGTAGAGACTTGTATTTGGCAATGTCTGCAGATCTTCCACTGTGATCACAGCAGGGATTGAGGGTGGGACAGTTGTACTGGCATCTAGTGAGTAGTGGCAAGGGCTGCCACTGAACACCTTAGGATGCACAGGGCAGCCCTCACAACAAAGAATTGCCCAGCCCCAAATGTCAGCAGTTCCAAGGAGAATCCCTGATTTAAACACGTCATGTAGGGAGATGTGCTTCGTCTCATGAATGTATAGATGAAAATAGGTCAGGTGGAAAATTCTGTTAGGAAAAGACTGTCAGCAAAAGTACTCACTGTCTACTGTGTCTAGAGAATGCATTCAACAACATAGAAGAAGTAAAGGGAGCCAAGGAGCCGTCCTCAGGTACCTAGATAAAGAAGGGCTCTGTGTAAGCATGCTCTCCAAGAAGGAAGTTTTCACCAAGAGGCTGTTGTTATAATTTTCCTTTAGTAAGAGGGTGACCTGAGGTCATCCACACTATTCATAATCATGTTTGTTCCAATGGAACACTCCAGTCCCTGTAGAGAAGGATCTTAAGGGAGCAGTGTGTGGTTCCTTCGCATGTCTGAATGGTCTTGTGTGTGAGTCAATCCCATTGAACAAATATCTGAAAAAGAAATCACTGTCACAAATAGGAATAAAAATTATTCATTATAAATAAAGACATAGACATAAAAGAAATATTAAAATTTGTATTCAACCATCCATATACCAAAAGAAGAAGGAGTCCCTGTCTGCTCAGTTTTCAAAGACCTACAGTTTATCAGATTCTGAAACTGTATATTCATGAGATTAGCCTAGTTGGATTGCAGAATTTGTTCTTACCCAACATGGTTGGCTGGCTAGCCATCCAAAGGTTTCTCTCTTGGTTTGCTAGCAGTGAAGGTTTGGAAAAGAATCCTTATTTCTTGTCTCCAGCTTTTTACCGTTAGGCCAAGCATTGGAAAACTTGCAAATGTATGTCAAGCCTCTGTCAGAGACAGTTGTTCTTGGGGAGTGGACACTAGGAAAGAGGAAAAAGGGGTCTGGTGGAACCCTTTGGGAAGGCAGACCCCTGGAGGTTCAGGACCTTAGAAGCTGAGGCACGGGGAAGCCAAGATGGTGGGTGGGACACCCCATGCCATCAGACACCTTGATCTGCCATCCTCCACAGCTCTGGCTTCCTGGATGCATAAGGGTTTTCCAGCACCTTATATTTATCCAGTGTCTGCCATGGCAAGGGCTCTTATTTGACATTGTTGCCTAATCAGGGGAAACAAAGGCAGATGAGGCAGAGGCATGACACAAAGGGCTCTCAGTGTGACAGGGGAAAAGACCAGTTATAAATCACTGCCACACAAGACATGGACAGCACAATCAGAAAAAAAAAAAATGGATAAATTTTTTTCTCTAACTATGGGATTTCAGAGAACCATTTTTACTCCAGTGGAGGAATTTGGAAAAGTCCCTTTGGAGAGGGAGGCATTTGAATTAGAATGTGAATATTGGTGAAAATGTAGACATGTTGAAATGATCCTGGAATATGATAAAGGACAGAGCAAGCTTCCAGGGTAAGAAGTTGAGAATATCAGAAAAGAGATTTTGTTGGATTTGTGTAAGGAAATAAGATGAGCTGGATATATTGGAACCAGCTCATGAAAACCCTGCAATGCAGGATGCCTTTAATCCACAGAGAAGCCCTGGAATTTTATGAGCAGATGGGGAGGGCTGAGTGGATTCAGCGGTGCTGTGCAGCTGTGTGTAAGGTAGACTGGAATGATAACCGGGGTCTGAGTTATTGTGGGGTAAGAAAGGTAAAAGGGGGGTAGACGTGACCACTATTTTACATGAAGCCTCTGGCAGGGTGTGGTGACAGGACGTGGCAGGCAGCAGATCGCTAAGCTCAGGCAGCCAGGCACAGTGTTTAGGAGTTTGGATGCTGGATACAAATGCTTGGTCTTCTAGTCCTGGCTCTGTCACTGCATATCTTTGACAGATTACTTTTTTTTTTAACCTCTCAATGCCTCAATCTCTTCATCCATCAAATGGGGATAAAAATCTTACTCCTCATACCCATGTGCCAAAGATTAAATGAGTAAGTGTGTGTAATACATTGTAAGCATCATCTGGCACAGCCGGAGTTACCATGCTCAATATAAAAAAGTGGCTCTTATTATTATTGAAGGTAACAGAATGGGAGAATGAACTTCTGAACCCAGTTGAAATGATGGTGAAATATGGAAGTAGAGAATTACACAAGGAAAGGATCACTGTTTTGTGATCTTTCCACAAGGCTACTTGGGGAACTCTGCTGACACGTGGGACCACATCTCATTAGAGGGCAGGATGAAATTTGTGGACTGTCCATCTCCATAATGATTCAGACATCTGCATTCTTCTGACTTTCTAAGTTTCCAAAGTCCTGATTTTGCTGTCTGGCATGAGCAGGGTTAAAGTTCACCAATCAATCAGGAATACACTCAAGACATGACAATTTCCTCACTTCTAGTAACAATGAGCCCCAGAACCAACAACTATGGTCTCACAGGAAGCCATCAAATAGATGATCCTTTTAAGAGCATACAGGACTTTTGGAGAGACTGTGACACCAACAGACTGAGCATTGAGGTTGTTTTATTCAAAAGAAAAAAACTGTGATGTTTTGGTTTTAGTTAAGGAATATTTTCATATCTGTGTGCGTTTGGAGGAGGTTGAGGGAAGGAGGAGAGAGGAGAAACAAGGGGGCATCCTACAAGCAACACATCTTGCCTCTTATTTTTTTTTAACTTTGATTATAGAACTCAGAGCTGAAATGCTCTGCTCTTCTTCCATATTCCAGTCAGTGCTCAGATTGTTCCAATTTAATGCATGCATAAGAATAAAGATGAAGCTCTCAAGTGCTGGGGTAGATTTGGCAAAAAGAGATGAGGCTTTATCCCTGTAAGATTAAACAATCATCAGGGTTAAAGGTTTAATCTGCTGGAGTTCAGCCCAGGATGGGGTTCAGAGAACCAGAATAATTGGATACAGCCTCAGACTTTGAACATCAGAGCTAGTTGGGGTGTATGTGTGTGTGTGAGAGAAAGAGCGAGGGGGCGGGGGGATGTGCTATTAAGTAGGAGAGGTCTCTCTTTTGCAATGTGCCGGGGCAGGAGGAGTAAAGCCGCCTGCCCCTGCCTCCTGGATCCTCAGTGCTAACTGGATGCCACTTCTGGGGGTTGCTGTACACGTGAATGTGTGCTATTGTTCCAGGCACACGCTGGCCTTAAGACATAGCACAAAACAGGCCTGTCCTTATTCAGAAGCAGAGCCCCCTCCATCACTCAAACCGGCCCTTCCAGGTCACATGCCGGAGGCCTCTGCAGACAGGACGCAGCTGCCTCAAATCTGCTGCCTAACATTAGCCACAGTTGGAAGACCCTGACAGCCCAGAGCTTCCCAGGCTCTGCAGGGCAAACTAGAAAGATCTGAGATCCAGGCACTATGTTCTCCCAGGAACTGTGGCTGGAAAATGAGAAAAAGTGCGCTGTGGTTCGGAAGTCTAAGCAAGGCAGGAAGCGCCAAGAGCTGCTGGCCGTGGCGTTGGGGGTGAAGGTGGGAGTCAAAGGCGGCTGGCTTTGGCCCCCTCTCAAACTCTTTGCCTGTTCACAGATCTCCTCCCTGGTTCGAAGGGCTGCCCTCACACACAACGACAACCACTTCAACTATGAGAAGACACACAACTTCAAGGTAAGACGCTGCATCCTCCCTTTGTCACACCTGAGCAGGTAGGGAGGGTCCGTTTGTGGTTTCCATCTGGTCCGGGGTGGTTCTGTCAGGAGACAGAAAATTCCTTTGTTTCTCACTTTGAGCTTCGTACTTAATACTGTTGCCTTGTATTGAATCCAACCGGAGGCCTCAGAAAGCAGCTTGCTGGATGCTTTTGCCTAGAAACATCTATCTGTGTATTGACTTAGTTCCTGATAATTTCCCTTCCCGTGTCCAGTGAAAGAAAAACAGAGCATGCCCACTCTGTGCTTAGAGATGTTCTGGTGGAAGCTGAGCTGTACTTTTCCACTCTGAGTAGCGGTAAAGAAACTTGCTGTCTCTGAGCAAGTGAAAACAGTTGCCATTTCACATTCTGCGTTCTGTCCTTTGTTTTCAAAGGTGCTGCCTCCCTCTGTTTCTGTGTAGCCAGCTGTGAAAGCAAAAGATGAGGAGAGATATCAGCCAGTTGCTTTGTGTATGCTCTGGGTGCAGGGCCACCCTCCTCGCCTAGCCAAGCTGGGTCCTGCTGCCCAGACCAAACAAAGATAGGGAAGCCTCTGAAGTGGACTTTCCCACGTGTATTTATAAAACAAGAATGACTGTCATCTCCATTTTAGATCAGCACTTGTACCTATGACCTGCCGACAGAAAATTATGGCCTATTTCTTTTACTGAGTTGTCCCAAAAGGGCAGGTAGGGAATCTGATGCCACATTGCCTGGCTTGACATGCTGCTGAGAGACAAGAGAGAGTTAGAAATTTACCCCAGCAGATAGGCTGACAACCGAGAAGACTGGAGAGATTGGAGAGGAAGCATTCAGGTAGAAGAGAACAGGCACGAGAAAGAAAATATGAATTGCCTTCTTTTTTAAACTCACTTCCTTTAGGGCCAGTAAACCCTAGTGACTGTTGGGACTAGATAATCCTTGGTCAGAGGTGACGGGGAAACAGATTTTCTGCTCTTGCTTGCCGATCCTCCACCAGAACCAACATGCGTCTATGAGATAATAGACGTTCATGTGAGTTTGGTGTGTCTCCCTGCTTCTGTTTTTAGAAGGCAAATGGCTCAGGCATTTGTATGCTATCATTCAACTGAGGAATGGAATTATTCAGCCCTATATATTTAGCATTAGGGTGAAGAATTGCATTATATAGGTTTTGTCCCAACACCAAACAGTGACAGATCTAATTTGGAGCATAGAAAGTCTGTGGTTTGTTTTTTTTCTCCTTCCTGTTTTCTATTTTAACCTTCATTATTTTTCTGCCTTAAGAACGTGTTTTTCTGACTTTTGGCAGAAATCCCTGGTTTGGGGCATCCTGTGGATATGCTACCATGGAAGAAAGGGTGGATCTTCTTGGACTTATAAATACTTTTCCTTCCTCTCAAAAATTCCAATTATATTGGCTTTAAGATACTATTGGAATTATGCGCCCTACCATAATGTCTTTATGGACTAGCTTCTCCATGTATATACTGTGTCTGAGCTCATGTTAAAAATAAAAAAAAATTAAATTAAAAAAAATACACACGCGTATTTAGTTGATTGATAGGCTTCAAAGCAACGTCAGTCAGTCTTTTCAATCTTAGGACTCTGAATGGAAATTTACTATTCAGACATTTTAAAACAAAAAAGACAGTGCATTTTATTTCTTAAATAGTACTGTTGCTACCTGATATGTTCAATATCAGTGAAAAACACCAGTTTCAAAAATGTTCACTTAAAAACTCAGAATCTATTCAGTGTGGCCTCTTCTAATTTTCAGCTATTGAGACAAAGAAAGGCAGAGAAGAGACAATACGTTGAGAGGGATACAAAAGCCAGACAGGAGCCTTCTCTCATGTGTTTTAAATAGACATCTTTGAAACTTAACAGACCCCAGAGTAGTGGCAGCAGTTGATTGTGGCGTTCAATAGTACTGTTGGTGCCACTGACCTTAAGAATGAGTGACCAGGGCTGGAGGAGGCATTCCCTCTGTCCTTCCTTGCCCCTTGCCCTCCCTGCACCCCCAAAGAAGTGTAAGTGGAAACTTTGCATGGACTTTGGAAGAACATTCCAAAAGCAGCTCTGTGCTATAAATACAAGAGTGGGATTTTAGTAACAAGCCACTAACGGAGAAAGAAATTTCTTATCAAAGTCTCCACTGTCTGCTTGGAATTTCTGTTTTAAACCTTAATTTTACACTAGCTGTTTCTTTATGTTGGCTTCTAATAGATTTTATTCTGAAACTTTTTTGATTTATAATTTATGTTCTTATTTGAGGAAATTGGGTACAGGGCATAGAGTAAGTGTTCAATAAAAATAATAAATAATCACATTTTCATGTTTATCAGACCTTGCTTGCTCCTTTCTGGACTCCTCTGAGATTTGCAACTGCCAGTAGAATTGATTCCTCACCCCATAACAAGACTTTTTTGCCCCTGTGAGGTCTGTTCCATAAAAATTCCTCTTTCTTACTCTATCCAGGAACTTTGTCAAGAGGAATGAACAGAAGCCCCAACAGACTGGGAATCTGTGCTCCATCCTATCAGAAAGCTCCCAGCCACTGTCCCTGACTACACACACATATCTACTGTGCCTGTTTTCAAGCAGACAGGAAAAGCCAGAATAGAGTCAGAACTAAAACTTTTGGAATCAAATTACAGTGATGCCTCACATCATGCAATGATTATTTACTTTTTCAACCTTGTATGCTGATGCAATTCTTGATCATTTAAAGCCGGAATTTTCTAATGTTATTCACACCTATTTGGCATGAAGAGGTATTTGTTTAAAGAATGGCAAAAATAACAGACTCCACCCTAAAATGAAAATTGTTCATCAAGAGAAAAATCACTGTAATTTAACTCAGTTTATGTGTTTAATTAAATGTAACTTTTAAAATTCTATTTCTTATTGATGCATTATAATTATACACAATAGTGGGATTCATTAAGCCCTATTCATACAAGCACATAACATCATTTGCTCAGTCTCATTTCCTAGTACCTTCCCTTTTCCTCCTCCTCCCTGCCCCTGATCTGCTTGCTCTATTCTACCTATCCCCCTTCTATTATTATTATTATTATTATTATTATTATTATTATTATTATTATTTTGGTACTAGGAACTGAACCCAGGGGTGCTTAACCACTGAACCATATCCACATCCCCTTTTAAATTTAGGGACAGGGTCTTGCAGAGTTGTTTAAGGTTGCTAAGGCTGGCTTTGAACTTGTCATCCTCCTGCCTCAGCCTCCCAAGCCGCTGGGATGACAGGCATGTGCCACTGCACCTGGTCTATTATTTTGTTTAAATTAGTGTGTGATGATTATATAAGCATGGCATATTTGTATGGACTTAGCTCATTTTATATTATGTAGTTGACTGGAAGAGGCACTCACATGTAACTGGCATAATCTTCCTTTTTTTTTTTTTTTTTTTTTTGTGATGCTGGGGATCGAACCCAGGCCCTCACATATGCTTGACAAGTGCTCTACCACTGAACCACACCCCCAGAACTCCTGAATAGTCTCTCCAATAACACTTTGTGGCTGAATTCTAAAACTCAAACCCCAGAGCCCCCAGTATCTGGATGGCCATCCTTCCCTCCCACATTTAGAACGTGGCGAGGTTGTCATAGGTGGCTTTAGCACTCCTGGACACAATATGATCTTTGGCAAAGAACTTGGTTCCCTTGGCCTCAACTTCCTCATCTGTAAAATGGGAATGCTGTGAGGTTTAAGGAATGCCTCTAAAGCACTTATGATATCCTGGTCCTTGTAGTAAGTATTCATTTGTTGTTAACCTCTATCATTATTTTTTTATTCTTCTATTTGTGTCTCTCAATTGTGCCTTTTGTTTAGTTTTCCCTGTCTCTGTATTTCTCGCTCTTTACCCTCATACCCCTCTTTCTTCATCATCTCTTTCTTCCTCTCTTGCAAAAAGATGTAATAGGAAATGAAATAAAGTCTGATGATTTCTTTGAATGTATTTTATCATATAACCAGTCCTGGTTTATGTTCCTCATTTATTTATAAAGTAGACAAATGATCTAGATTTTTTAGATTTAGATGTCATGCATATTTTCCCCCAGTTCTTAAAAAGTCTTTTTATCTCTGAGTACTCTTAATTTTCTAGCACTTTTATAACAAATGACCAGAATCTCAGTGGCTTAAAAACCACAAAAATTTATTTTCTCACAGTTTTGGAGAAACCAAGCATGGGCAGGGCTGGTCCCTTCTGGAGTCTCCGAGACAGTCTCCTGCCTCTTTCCTACCTTGCGGTTGTTGGGGGGCCTTGCAGGTTCTTTGGCTTCTAGGTACGTCCCTGCAGTCTCTCTCTCTCTCTCACACCATCTTTTTCTCATCTAGTTCTCTGTGCACCTCTGCAGGTCTGACTATTATAAGATCATTGGATTTAGTGCCTACCCCAATCCAGCATGACCTCATCTTAATTGTATCTTCAGTTGCCCTGTTTCCAAAGGCCACATTCACAGTGACCCATGGTTAAGACTTGACCATACTTTTCTGGGGGATGCACGCCATTCATTACAAAACTATTATTTTCAGGAACCTTCAATAGGAGGGATCTCTAGCTTCATCCTAAAGGTTACATCATTGGTGCTATAAGTAGAAATTCAAAATTTCATTGAGGGTTTTCATGTTCACTAGAAAAGTTCTTTAGATGCAATTTAATTGCTATTAAATGTCAACTCCTTGGTCTAGGTGCCACTACTAATTTCTGTGACCTGGGGAAGTTTTCATTGATTTTTCTTATCCATGTTTTAACGCTCTGACAGAAAGTGATAAAAGTTAGTCATTCCTGATCTCTTATCTTTACTAAGCATTTCTTCATGAAAAGGATTATGGTAAGGGCATAAAAATCTTTAAAATAACTTGTGACTTTTCCTAGACTGTGGTAAATTGTGAGTGTCAATTTACTGTAACTGATTCATATTCAGAGTATATATTTTATAATCAAAGTTATGATTAGCTATTGCTTCACATTAATATTTGTGGTTAGACAGGACTGGCTACATAATTAGTGGGGCCCAGTTCAAAATGAAATTGTGGGTCCCGTGTTAAAATATTATTAGGAATTTCAAGACAGTGACAACAGAGCATTTGACCAAGTCTAGGCCCTTCTCAGTGCAGGGTCCTGTCCAGCTACTCAGAGTACACGCCTGAGACTCCAGTCCTGTGGTTATATGTGGAGAACAGGAGGCACAGAAATCAGTTTCCAGGAGAATTCAAAGAGTGGGATGCTCCATGTTGCAGGATCCTGTGGAGGGAGCAGGGCAATTGCTTTTCCATCTTTAACTAGGCGGGCTCCCGGAGGAAGTGGGAAGTCAGCACAGCCCTGAATAAAAAAAATAAAAACTTGAGTTACACAGAAGGAATAAAGAACATTCTGGGCAGTGCAAACAACATGAGTGAAAACCTGGAGTCAGAAATGAGCCAGGAGTGAGCCAGGGAGGAGACCCAAAGGCAAAGGGGCCCCTGCACAGTTTGTTCATCAGTGGGGCAGAAGCTGAGGACTCCGCAGGTGCCCTCAGAGGCCTCAGAGCCGGTCCCTCCCCACCCAGCCTGTCCCCAGGATCTGCATCACTCTGCTTTACTCTCTCCTTCCACCCAGGGACATCCAGGACACCCTTCCCTCCTCCCCACGTAGAATAGGATGGGGAGTGGAAAGTTCTCAAGGTGAAGAGGAACCTCCCTACACTCACCTCACCTGTGTTCCCTTCCCCCATTGGTCCCTCTCCCCCCACCACCAACTCCACTTTCCCTTACTTTTCTCCACAGCACTGGTCACTGGCTGATGTACACCTTTACTTGTTGTCCTGCCTTCCCCTGGTCAGATGGAAACTCCCCCAGAGAAGGGATTTCTGTCTGGTTCCTGACTGCAGAAGCTCCTATGACGATCAGGGCCCAGCCTCAGCCGACTGGCTCCACATAGGCAAAGCTCATGACTCTGTCTACGCAAAAGTGCAGCTTTAGAGCCTCCTTCCTCACTCCCCACCCCAGTGAGCCCCCATTTGTGGCTTGTGTGTTGCATGCACTTGTGTTCATTGCACTTGTAGGTAGCAGGCCCTTGCCAGGGTCATCAGACTGGGCTGTAGGCAGACAGACACCATTAGGAAGGGCTAGGCTAGTTGTTGCCCCCCATTTGGCTAAGGACATTAGTGTACAGTGCTACCCAGTGTTTTATAGTGAAGGCCATGTGCCCCAGTTTACTCCTGTTGCCCTGTGTCCTGTGTGGTGACTCTCAGAAGTGTCCTCATCAGGACATAAGTGAAATAATTTCCTTACTCACCCTTTTCTGTCCCCTACTCTGCTGGCAGCGTCCTTCCCCCCCAGGGCACACCCTATCTTGAGTGCTGTTATAGCATACTCCCCCTGATGCCCACCTTTCCATAATATTCCTGGGGGCCAGACTAGAAGTTCACGATGCTGAGAATGTGTCACAGTGTGCTGCTAATGCACCTGTCCAGCATATGGCTGTTCAACTACCCAATTTGGGTTTTATGGCTCATTTTTCATTTCTATGCCTATTATTGGTTTTTGCATTTTTTTTTTCAATTGAAAGCAGGGCCTCACACATACTAAGCGAGTACTCTACCACTGGACCATAACCCCAGCCACAATCTTGGCATTCTTATCAGTATAGTGGCTGCTTGCTTGGGGCAAGCCATTTTTTCTCCCTGCTCTCATTCATCTTTTCTTCTTCCTCCTTGACTTCATAAAAAGGTGCTAGCCCATTGTTCCCACTTGCATTCTCATTGGCACTCCTGTGCACCTGGGGAGCAGAGACCAGGGAATATTGCACCTGCACATTGGCCTACCCGGAAATCAGCTTCAGAAAGGGTTGTGGGCTCTCTTTTGTGTGCTTTGTCTAATCATCAGAAAAGGTTGTTTAGGCAGAAGTGAGTCTGAGAGGAACAACTGAAAAGAAAGGCAGAATTAGTCGCCTTGAATATGGAATGAGTGACTCCAAGTGAGACTTGAATAAATAGGCTCAGAAATGGTCTTTATGAGGGAAATGTGGCTCCTGCTTCTAAGTGCTACGAAGAGGAGTTGTTTTTATCTACACCCTACTTTGGTCCGGCTCCACCACTATAATTATTAGAAACCCTATTTTCAAGTAATAGAACCCCTGGAAACTCTTCAGTTAAAAAGGAGGTTATTACACAGGAGGGGCTCACAGAGCCCCAGGGACTACCACCAAGCAGAGGAAGAAATGTGAACTCCTCCTTCTCTCCCTCTCCCTCTGCTTTCCCTCCTCCTCACCCTCTCTTTCTTCCTCCTTCCCTCCCTTTCTCACCATTTCAGAAATTTTCTATGGTCATCTGTCCCTGTTGCTTTGGGGACCTGTGGCGAGGTAGAACATCATGGCAGGAGCATGTTGTGGAGCGAAATTGATCATTTCCTGACAGCTGGGAAACAGAGAGCTTGGGGCCCCAATATTCCCTTCAAAGGCATGCCCCCAGTGACCCACTCCCTCTAACTAGATCCCACCAACTCCCAATAGCACCATCACAGGGACCCAAGTCTTTAACACATGAGCTTCTGGGGGATATTTAAGATCCAAACCCATGACAGTGCATGTTTAGCTTAAAAAGAGCGTGTTCATGAAAATGACAGCTTAACTCATCTGTTTTAAATCTGTTGGGTTCAGCAGAATGCCTGTATCCAGGAAATGCATTGACATCAGGGATTTCAAGCATGTGCAGAAAGGGTTTTTGGAGAAGGGTCTCACATAGGCAATGGTGTGCTCTGCCTGCCAGGGCCTGACTCAGAGCTTCTCTTTGACCTCCTTGGTTTGTCTGTACATACATGTTAGGACACTGTCATCCCTATCCTTGTAAACTCCTTTATAAATTAGCAGAGCCCGGTGGAAGAGAAAAGGCTTTGTTGTAAGCCCTGCTGGGACGCCTGGCTTAGGCCACACACACCAGGGACGTGACTTGGCCAAGCTACTCACAGATGCCAATCATCTACTAAAGAGTCTGACTCTTATCAAGTGCTTAGCTCTTATTAATTTTGTATAGAGTTTGTTTTGATCCAAAGAACACATAATTCAAAGGGACTATTCTAAATGAGTGAATGCATGTTTCTGGAATTTTCAGCCTAGAGAAATATGGCTTTTGTGTTTTGCTGGGGGTGTGGGTAAGGGTGGGGCAAGCACCAGTGGTCACTACACACATCAGTCAGGTCTTTTGGCAGGTTCTCAGGAAAGGAAACTATTTCACCACTCATTCCTTTACTCAACAAACACAGACTTCAGGCTGATATGTATCATGTGCAAGAAAGACAGTGACGATGAAAGAATAGGACTCTCACAGACAAGGATCATACCCATCCCACCCACCCGGAACATTTGCAATATCTGGAGACATTTGTTTTATTCTCACACTGAGGGTGTACCAGTGGCAACCAGGAGAGGCTGGGGATACAGCTAAACATCCCATAATGCCCAGGACAGCCCCCACCACAAAGAGTTAGTCAGTCCCACGTCAATAGCACTGAGGTGGAGAAGCCCTGCCACACCCAATGGGGAGCCACAGAAGGTTTCTGAACAAGACTGTCTCAAAAGAATGTGGGTGCCAATATCCTCATGAACTTGAGAGGAAATTAGATAATGAGAATATCTCACTTTATGCAATGAGGAGAGTCCCAAAAAGCTTTGCAGCAATTGTTGTTTGAGAAATTCAATCCCATTTTTAAATTTTGATGAAGCTTTGTTTGTTATAATTGATTTGACCCATTCATGCATCTTTACCAGCAGCTAGGACACCACCCGCTTTGTATTTTCTATGTCAATTACTGGAGCGCTGCACCTTTAGAACAATTTGCTGAGCACTTTGTTAAAGGAGCTCCAGAAGGGTTGTCCTGATCTGGGACCATGAATCTTCAGTCTCCCAGAGACTACAGCTGGGCTGATGAGCTTGTAGCTGGGAAACTCCTTACAGAGTTGGTCCCAAGTACTTTTGTCAAACAAGATGAGGTTATTGAGCTCATCACAAACTTGCCTTTGGACCACATCCTGAATCCTATTTTAAATGCACTGTAGTAGCTACTGACAGACAATCCAGGGATCTGTGGTGCTGGGGTTGAGAACCTCACCTCAGAACCCAGGCTCCCCTGCAGCATCTGCTCAGCGGGCCTCTGGAAGGGATTGCAGATTTCTCTGTGGCACTCTCTGTTGCTGTGTTCTTCCATCTGAAAAGGTTCACTTCAAGGTCAGTCTTCCATCTGATCTTTCAAGAGGGGAAAGTCCAGAGTTTAATTTAATTTCTCACATGAGTTAAATGTCACATGATTACAGGCACTACAGTAAATTTTATATATATATATATATATATATATAAAATCCTTGGACGAAATCTAGAGACTTTCAAATCTCTAGATTTGACTGAGGATAAGCTACCAATGCTCCCTGCCCTCACTTAACACTGGGCAAAAGCTGGACTAGACCCTCAGATCTACCTCGAGGCCCCTCATTTACACAGAAAGAAAACAGGAAAAACTTGCCTTTGGTCCAAAGAACCTTTTTTGAAGCAAAGCAAAATAATTAAGTTCTTATTTTTTTTCCCTCCAGGTACTGGGGATTGAACCCACAGGTGCTTTCCCATTGAGCTACACCCCCAACCCATTTTATTATTGTCTCAATAAACACACACACACACACACACACACACATATTTTGAGACAGGGTTGTTTTTTTTTTTTTTATTGTTGGCTGTTCAAAACATTACATAGTTCTTGATATATCATATTTCACACTTTGATTCAAGTGGGTTATGAGCTCCCATTTTTACCCCATATACAGATTGCAGAATCACATCAGTTACACATCCATTGATTTACATATTGCCATACTAGTGTCTGTTGTGTTCTGCTGCCTTTCCTATCCTCTACTATCCCCCCTCCCCTCCCCTCCCCTCCCCTCTTCTCTCTCTGCCCCCTCTACTGACATTCATTTGTCCCCCTTGTATTATTTTTCCCTTTCCCCTCACTTCCTCTTGTATGTACTTTTGTATAACTCTGAGGGTCTCCTTCCATTTCCATGCAATTTCCCTTCTCTCTCCCTTTCCCTCCCACCTCTCATCCCTGTTTAATGTTAATCTTCTTCTCATGCTCTTCGACCCTACTCTGTTCTTAGTTACTCTCCTTATATCAAAGAAGACATTTGGCATTTGTTTTTTAGGGATTGGCTAGCTTCACTTAGCATAATCTGCTCTAATGCCATCCATTTCCCTGCAAATTCTATGATTTTGTCATTTTTTAATGCAGAGTAATACTCCATTGTGTATAAATGCCACATTTTTTTAATCCATTCATCTATTGAAGGGCATCTAGGTTGGTTCCACAGTCTTGCTATTGTGAATTGTGCTGCTATGAACATCGATGTAGCAGTGTCCCTGTAGCATGCTCTTTTTAGGTCTTTAGGGAATCGACCGAGAAGGGGAATAGCTGGGTCAAATGGTGGTTCCATTCCCAGCTTTCCAAGAAATCTCCATACTGCTTTCCAAACTGGCCGCACCAATTTGCAGTCCCACCAGCAATGTACAAGTGTACCCTTTTCCCCACATCCTCGCCAGCACTTGTTGTTTGACTTCATAATGGCTGCCAATCTAACTGGAGTGAGATGGTATCTTAGGGTGGTTTTGATTTGCATTTCTCTGACTGCTAGAGATGGTGAGCATTTTTTCATGTACTTGTTGATTGATTGTAAGAGACAGGGTTTTGCTAAGGATCCTCAAACTTCGAATCCTTCCTGTCTCAGTCTCCCTAGGTAGCCGGAATATAGGTGTGTGTAACCATGCCCAACTTATGTTCCCTTTTTTAATTTAAATAATAAAAATGCAAACTGCCCTGCTTAGTTCCCATTTTTAATAAAAATGATACTAATGACAGTACGGTTCTATTCTATACCAGTGAATATCAATCAAGGTTACTATGTCACCCCCAGGGGACATTTGGCAATGTCTGCAGATATTTGTGGTTTGTCCCTACTGAGGATTGCTACTGGTATCTAGCAAGTAAGGGCCAGGGACGCTGCACAACATCCCACAATGCACAAGATAGCTGCTCCTCCCCCAACAAAGAATTTTCAAGCCCCAAATGTTAATGGTAACAAGGTTGATAAACTCCAATATAGACTGATGAGAAAAAGCAAATCTTCTCAACTGCAGCACATGATAAATACCACTGTCTTACAACTAGATCCTGAGCCAAGCTAATTGTACATTTGAGAGATGTTTACACCAGTCCACTAAAACGTATTTGTTATAAAATCACTAGAGAATACTGCCTTCCAGATTGAGCAGATGTGAGACAAATAACATCCTGTTCATTTAGTAAGGGCCAAGCCAGGGGCTACTTGCTACACACGCCTGGGATTTTTCTTGACAGTTCTGCTGGCTCAGTTTTTATTAAGTGGCAATTCCTGGGTCATTTATAAAACATGCCTTATCTCCTGTAATGCCATCTTTTTGTTTGGTGTGGTTTTTTGAATTCCAGGCAAACCATGCCCAGTAAGTCTTGGACAGACATTCTTCCTGTCTGGGGTATTTTCTTCCTGTCTAGGGTATTTTAGTTACTGCCCTAAAGTTTGCAAAATGTTCTTTCTCCAAAAAGATGTTCTTGAAAATCAATAAACTGCTGAGGAATGGAAAAAGCCGATTAGTGACTTTTAAGATATGAGGTGTTTTACTAAGAGAGTAGCCAAATAAGTCAACCCCAAATAAAATGGACTCCAAGAGGGCCCTCAACATTCACATGTGATCTATATTGCAGAGATTGTCTAAAAGAAAAGTGAACAATATATCAGCCATGAAAATAAACAGTAGCCCATCCCAAAAAAGGAAATTAGGCAGTGAGCCTAAAATAATGTTTAGCTAACTTCACAATCCTTCTCTGTTCCCATTCCATTTTATTTCTGTGGGACTGAGAGGGACATTGGAGTTATTTGTGAGTCTTCAATATCTACCTGCATCTGTTTGGCTGGAGAAATGAGATCAAAGGCAGTAAGGATGTCTGCTGGGAAAGCATGTGGGTAAAGATGAGCAGGGTGAATAAGCATTGATTTTGATGTTCTCTATTTATTTAAAAAAATATTGACAAAAAGGGCAATTATAGAAAATTTGTGATTAATATATCCGGCATTTCCTGAAGCAGTTAGTAGGTCAGCTTCTTTTTTTATCAACGTACATTTTTGTTTGTGTGCAGTGAATATTGCAGCTACCCTCCTAATTTCTAAATTTCTAAATATTTCATTTCCATTTTTCCTCCAAGGCATGAGGATATTTCCCATGAGGGTACCTGATCCACTGCAGATGTTTCAGAGAAGAGCATTGTATCATCCGTCTTTTGCACCACCTATAAAAAAGAATGCCTTTCACCAAAAACAAAGCCCACTGTCATTGGGTATTGATTATGCTATTTCCTCATCTTAGAATCTTGTCCCCAAGTCATTTGCTCCCCAGTTAACTCTGTGGCTTCCCTGCCAGCTCATCGTTCCTAGTCTGGTAAACTATCCATCCTTCAAAACCCAGTACCACTTTCCCTGACTTTCTCAGAATAACTTATATTCTCTCCATTCTTCTACCATAGGATCTCCAACATGCTCTATTGTCACTGACATAATTGTTAAAGTTGCCTCTTTATTCTTGTAGATAATGATATCCTTAAGTGCAGGGAGTTCTTGCTCCTCTGATCTCTTTCAACTTCACCTGGTTGAAAGAGACCTAGTAATAGGGCCCGAGTCAAAAAGCATCAGCATGTGAGTATCAACTAAATGAAGGAATAATGAGGCAATGGAAAGGTGCCTAATGGATGAAACAGAAAATAATTCATCTCTCTGACATCCTTCACGCACTAATTTAAAAGCTCTTTCTGAAATATATCAAGTCTCCATTTATGAGTGACTTGGTCTCATGTACCACTGGTACTAAATGTATTGTACCAAACATGCTGGAGTTATTATTTATTTATTTGTTAATATACAGTAATATAGTGTCAATGCTTTTGTACATATTGAAGCTTGACTTGTAGTCAGCTTATGTAAATGTTCCATGTGTTTTTAAAGAGTGTGTATTCTTTGGTTGCATATGAAGTCTCTTTCCTATTTGATTTTGGATTTGTCAGTTTCTCCTTGTAATTCAATCTTTGTTTTATGTTTTTTGAGATCATGTTGCCACATCCATATGAATTAAGTTAATATATCTTTCTGATTTAAAAATCTCACTGTGATTCATCTTTATCACTAATAGTGAGATAGATAGATAGATAGATAGATAGATAGATAGATAGATAGATAGATATATATATGGTCTATTTTGGGTTTCTATTGGCTAGCATTTACTAGGTATGTCTCTTTACTTCCTACGTTTCTCTTATATTATATTTTGAGTGTGTTTCTTACAAATATTTTTAAAGGATCTAAAAATATATATTTGATAAGTTTGAGACATTTATATTATTATTGTGACTAGAAAACTATAAGGATTTTAAAAATACTTTCACTCTGCTTTTTTATTACTTCTTTTTTCTTATTTCCTGCTTTTAATTGGCTTAATCAAATCTAGTTTTTTCCCTTATGTGTTGTTTAAAAATTTATGCATTCTATTTCACTCTTTTTGGGTATACTAAATTTTTTAAAATATGCGTAAATGATTTAAAATATCCTTTGGTTTACTAGTAGTTCTTCTAACATCCCCAGTTGTAAGGACCTTGGGAAGCTTTAACTTCCCTCATCCTCTTTAATCTTCACATCATGTTTTTCATTGTTTATAAGTCCCCTAAAATTAGTCATTGTTATTGTTTTATGCAGGATTAGACTAACCCATAGTCACTTTCTTTTTCTTTTTTGCTCACCATTACTTCTTTTTTTTTTTTCTATTTCTTTTTTTTTCCTTTAATTTTTATTGTTGGTTGTTCAAAACATTACATAGTTCTTGACATATCATATTTCACACTTTGATTCAAGTGGGTTATGAACTCCCATTTTTACCCCGTATACAGATTGCAATCACCATTACTTCTTGATTCCTGCTCCTTCTTGGGTTGCATTTGTTCTTCATGGAGCATATCCTATTATGTCTTTGTATGAGGATCCGTGGGTGGAAATTCTTGCCATTTGCCTGAAAATAGCTTTAATTTACCTTTCTCTTGGATGATAATAATCTGGATGTAAAGATTGGACTGCCAAGTGAGCTTTAGTGGGGCATGTTTATAATCCCAGCCCCTTGGGAGGCAGAGGCAGGAGGATCTGGAATTTGAGGCCAATCTTGACAACACGGCAAGACCCTGTCTCAAAATAAATAAATAAAAAGTTTGGTGTGCAATATTCTTCTCTGGGCACTTTGATGAAGTGTTTCCATAATCATTAACCTCTTCTTGCTGAGGAAAAGTCTGCATTCACCCTAATTGCTGTCCTTTCTCAGGTTTTCCTTGTTTTCTTAGTATTCTGCAGTGTCACCACAATCTACGTAGATTATTTTTCTTTGTCTTATTTGAGACTCATTTAGCTTTTTTCAATCTTCAGGTTCTATGTGTTTTACTAATTCTGGAAAATCTTAACTATTTTTCCCTTTGAATATTGTTTCCCTGTCTACCCCAAATTCCACCCTCTCTCAACTTCCCAGGATCATCATTTCTTGGCTTATCTTTTTTCTGCATCTCCAGCATCTTCTACCTCTTATGGTAACCCCCTTGATAAATCAACATGCCCTCATGTCTTTCACCTAAAAATAAAATATAAAATAAAATCTTCCCTTGACTGCAGAACTCTCCTGAGCAGTCTTCTCTCTTTGCTGGAAGTCATGGTTGGACTTCTTGATGAATTTGCCTGGACTTCTTTCCAGTTCCTTACTGCCCACTTACTCTTCAGTTCCCTTGAATCCGGCTTTTGTCCTCACCAGCCCAAAGACACTGTCGTTGCCAAGGTTGGTGATGACTTCATGTAACTGAATCAACATTGAGTGCTTATCTGATTGGACTTCTTTCCAGCATTTAACATGGTGGCCCCATTCTGTCCCTAAAGCACTCTTCATTTCTTGGCTTCTAAAATACTTTATGTTCTTGGTTTTCACTAAATGTGGAGCACTGAGGATATGGAGTTTTAGCTTGTTTTGTTTTGTTTTTGTTTTCTGCTCCCTATCCCTAATATGCTTTATCCTTTAACATAATTTTAAATATCATCTATATGTCAGGGATAGCCTAAAGTATATCTTTAGGCCTCAGCCCTCCTCTAAGTCATCAAAGCTGTGTGAAATCCTTCTTAACACTAACAATTGGGTATCATGGGAGTCTTTAACCTTAACCTATCTAAAGCTGATTCCTTACCTTCTCTCCAAAGATGGTCTTCCCCATCTCAGCAAAGGGTGTTACCGTCCAACTAGTTCCTAGGCTAAAAGCTAGGAGTCATTCCTGATTCCTCTCTTCCTCAAAGACCACATGCATTCTATGATCAGGCTGTGGAAATTACTTCAAAATATCCCATCTCTACTGCCAGCCTCCTGATCTCTGCCTCTGCTTTTCTCAGCTAGACTACTACATAGTATCCAAATCTATTCCACCATTAATATCCTCCCTCTATTTTCAAGACAGTGATCAAAATAATCTTTTTTAAAAAATTATCTGTATACTGGCATCCTATAATAATTTCTTATTGTACCTAGATTAAAACCAAATCCATGCTCATGAATAAAGTCTTCAAATCCTGTGTGACTTTTTATTCCTACCTTCAGTTTCATCTCAGTTCCTCTCCCTCTCATTCCCCAGGTCCTGGCCATCCTGGCTGTCCACTGCACAATCACACCAAGCTGTTTTGTTCCTGAAAGGCCTCCATACATACCTTCTGCCTAGAATGTTCCCTGTTCCTCTCCCCACAAAACTAGCTCTTCTCTTCTTCCAGGTTACCTTCCAAAAGAGGCCTCCCTGCCCATCCTGGGTAATATTGGGCCCCTCTTTGCCTCTCTGGCAGTGCCACATCTTTTTTCCCCCATAATCATTTATGTACATTTTTTTAGTTATATTTTTATTATATTTAATTGATCTTGCAATCTCAGCAATTTATTAATAACCAACTTTGCTGCCAACTTTCAACAAGACATTTTACTGATGGGTGTTTTTAGTACCAGGTTCAATCTCTGTGGGTCTCTGAGTGAATCATGGCATTTGACCTATGTGAAGTGCTCCCGGGATGAGTTCTCCACATTCCTACAAGGAGTACTCTGTCATGTTCTACTCTTTGTAGAACATGCCTCCGTTTAAATGAAATACAACTTTGAGAGATTTTTTTTCACATTTTTCAGAAAGAAAACAGTATAAATCAATTTACATGTGATTAGCTGAACTACCAAAAGATAACTATAATTTAATTTTATTGCATAGAAACCATGATCATAAGTTGCTTTTTAAAAATTTATTAACTATTTTCTTTGCTGCTTTTACTTCTCTGTGAGTTCCATTAGGAGGGAACCAGGTTTGTTTTCCTCGCCACTTTATGTACACCCTAGTATGTATATCTAGTATGTATGAATGAATGAAGAAGTCATAGGGATGCTGTTTTATCTTAAGCTGTGCTCTGATGAACATCTTCCCAAATTGTGACCATACTTGTAGTCCTGATTTTTTTTTCATTAAAAGCTGTATGTAGATGTCCCAGACTGTTAAAAAAAAATAATAATGTCTTCATTTCTTTTATTTGTTAATTAAGGTTTAAAACTTTCAAAAGCCTAAAAAAAAATCAGAACCTTTTCATATAAATTTGTATACCTCCAATATACTGCAGTGGTTCTTGGCTTACCATGGCCACATTTGCTCTGCTCTGAAGTTCTTTAGTGCCAGAGAACAACTATTTATTTATTTTATTTTGTTTGGTTTTTGTTTTAACTCATGGCTTAATATATGATCCTGTTACAGGAGGACCTGTACCTGATTAGTCAGAGATAAGACCATCCTTACTTTGTGATATGTGGAATATTTAACAACTGGCTGAGCACCAAACAATAACAGCACTTTGGCCAACCAGGAGGGACTTTCAGCTTACCCACCTGAAAGGCACAGCAGGCTCTGCTGAGTATAGACCTCTGGGGGATGTAATTCCATGGGTCCTATTGGTAGCCTGTATTTTCAGCCAACTCCTTCACTTTTTTTTAAATGCCTTTTTTTGGAAGTGGCTCAAAGCCTTGGAAACTTTTAATTATCCCATAATCATGTCTTATTTATACCTGGCTGAATACTCTACAGATGGATGGAACAACTTCAGTCAAAGGGCACAGTAATTGAGTTCTGCCTTCCAGAACTTGCTGAGCTAAATGCAGGTTGTAGCCACTGGCTCAGGCTATCTTGGGCTCTACACACAGTGCCTTGTTCTGGGTGATGGCATGGCTCTGTAATCTCACTGTTTCTCCACATTCCTTTCTGATTGGGGCATGGTGGATTAGTGGAGGGTTTCAAAAATCAAAGCCTATCTCTACTTTCTCCAGATCCATTTGCAACTGTTCCTCACTAGAAAGAAAAGGGCAGTGGAGATGGCTCCTGCTGGGACCGCTGTTTCTTAACTTCATCCATGCATTTAACACAGGAGACTACCGCCTCCAGATACCTGAATTTGTTGACACTTTTCTTCTCTTTGGAACACAGGTCCACACATTCCGAGGCCCACACTGGTGTGAATACTGTGCAAATTTCATGTGGGGGCTCATCGCCCAAGGAGTCCGGTGCTCAGGTAGACATGGAACTTTCTTTCTCCATTTTTCCATCAGGAAATATGCAGCCATGTTGAGTTAGCAGTTCTCCAGAGTTGGAGACTCTGCCTAGATGAACTAAAAAAGTCTGGCTTCCTGGAGGGTTCAAGGCCTCTCTGTACTCAATGGGGAGACTGTTCTTAAGGGTTTGCAAAAATGAAAAGGAATATCTCATGTTTATGCAAGAAAGGAAAAAAAAAAAAAAAAACCTGACAAGTATACTTCCTTAAGACTTAGGTAGACCTCCCCAATAGACAGTAGTCCTTAAAAGAAAAAAAAAATCAATGAAATGTTATAAATAGAAAAGCAATACTTGTTTCCCATCCCATCTTACTATAAAAGACAAGACATAAAAATTATAAAAATACTAGTAAGTATTTGCTACAGGCACCAGGTTAAACATTTTCTATTTATCATGTCAGTTAGCCTCACCACAGACCTTAGGGAAGATGCAATTATCTACCATTAAATGAAAAAGGAAATGGAGTCTTAGAACTCATTCTTAATTGCCTCTGGCCACATGGTGAGTGGTGGAACATTGATTCAAAGGCAGCCAGATTCCAAAGCCCAGTTCAGTATTTTTCTGTCATCAGATCAACAGTGAAACCACTTACCTTAATTTGATATCTCATATTTTCAAAGTAGTTTGAAACCCTGGGTGTTTTTCCACTTGGAATTGGAGGCTGAAAGGGTACCACACACCTTATTAAGATACATGGAACAAAATGGCATATGGTTGCCAAATTAATGTGTGAACTGGGCTTCCTAATTCATCCTGCCGTGATTTTTCTGACTATGGGGTTTCCACTAACTTCATGACTGATTTCCTTCTCGCTAGGGTATGATTTTTTAAAACAATTCATATGTGATATTTAAAATCAAATCAACTAATGACACTAGACTAAAGTGATCTTCTTTCCCATATTTCCTATTTTGGTTCTGAGGATCAGGCAACCCCAGTTTTCCCCTTTGCCCATAAAAGGACTTCTCAGCTCCTGGTTTGTAGGTACAGAAGTCATCCCTGTAGACAGTGGGAGGGTTCAAGTGGTTCACATGTATGTTGGAGAATTCTGCGGACCCATAGCAGATCCCTTAGGCAGGTGACAAACTAGAGGTGGCCTCTCCAGAAATGTTCAGATACCTGGATGAACACCAAAAATTGCCTTGCCAGGAGTCACAACATAGCTCAGGGTCGAACTGCTGAGCCTGGTGGTAGAATATCTGAATTACTCATTAATTCAACTTATCCAGCTGATAGCTATGAAAAAAAATGCCCCTCATTGCTGGTATTATCCAATTGCAGCAGGAAATTGGTCCAAAGTCAATATTATGAAAATGAAACTCTGAACTTCACATTAGCTGTGATCAGTAGCTTGTTTTTTTTTTTTTTTTTAGTTTTAGTTTTAGATGGACACAATATCTTTATTTTATATTCACGTGGTGCTGAGGATCGAACCCAGTGCCTCGTGGATGCTACATGAGCTCTCTACCACTGAGCCACATCCCCAGCCCGATCAGCAGCTTTTGGGGGGATAAAATGATTTATTTTTATTTATTTTTCTTAATAAAAACACAGTCTCAAACTATATTGTTAGCTCTCTCCATTGGCTATTTTTTGACCTTTTATGTCCACTGAGGATCAGGAAGGCTGAAAACAGCATTAAAGGTTAAGAACAGCCATCACGCCCTCAGTTCTCCTTATTTTAAATATTTTTATTTGTGTACAACCAGAAAAATGAAAAATTGTGCCCCATTTGTGTACTACAAACTGAAATGCATTCTACTGTCCTGTGCAACCAATTAGAATGATTAAATAAAACAAAATAAAATAAATAAATATTTTTAATTACCTGGGCCTTATTTGCAGCACATGAAAATTCTACTAGTTTATAAAAGCTAAATATTTTAATATTTCTTATAAAATATCTTCATTTTAATAAAATGTTAGTATTAAATTCTACATAGTAGACATGAAATTGCTTCAATTCTTAAGATGAAGTTTATAAGAAAATTAGAATTACTATATGATCCTGCAATTCCACACCCTGACTGATACCCAAAACAACTGACAGCTGGATCTTCAAAAGATGTTTGCACATCCATATTTGCAGTAGGGGATGATAGAAGCCACCCAGGTGTCCATTGATGGGTGGATGGATAAACAAAAGGTGACCGGACTTACAAAGAATGGAATTTCATTCATTCTTAAAAAGAAAGGCAAACCTAGCACTCATGGACCCTGAGGGCAAAGGCTAAAGAGACCCAGATGTTGTCTTCCAGGTAGGTAGGGACTCTTATCTCTCCCCACTGTGAGTGAATCAGGGTGTATCCTCAAAAAAAGGAAGAAACTCCTGATGCATTCTACATACAGCATGATGTGTTTAGAGGACAGCGTGCTAGATGAAATAAGGCAATTGTGAAATTATAAATACAGTATGATTCTATTCACATCAGGCCCCTGGAGTAGTCAAGTTTATAGAGTCAGCAAGTGGAATGGTGGCTGCCAGGGACTTCGAAGGGGGCACAGGGTATTGTTTGGGAGGCATAGAGTTTTGGTTTTGCAAGATGAAAAAGCCCTGGAGACTGATGGCAGTAATGGTAGCACAGTAAAATACACTTAGAAATGGTTAAAATGGTAAATTTCATGTAATGCAATTTTTACCATAATCTAACAAGAAATTTTAAATGAAATGTAAGACATGGTAAAAATTACTAATGAGGAGCTGGATAGACCTTATATTTTCTATTACTGTAAACACTATTTATTTTATTTGACTTAATATTTACATAATACATACAATGGTCAGACTTAAAGTGTTCAGACAATATGCTGAGCACGTTCTAGTAATTTAATTTGATGCTCCTGATCACCTTAGGAGGCAGATCCCTATTTTCTGAAAGTGGATCCCAACAAGAAAACCAGACTGTTCTATTTAGTCCAGGTAGCCAAAATTTACATTCATTAAATAGATCTATGAAAATATTATTGAATTTTGTTTAAGCTAAGATGGATTCAAACAGGTGACCATAGACAAAGGTCTCAGCAAGAAAACATTACTAAAAAATGACTTAGAAGTTATTACTGATGATTTCAGAGAAGTTAGATCCTCTGAAATCCTGGCTATGGTTAAGTGTTTTTTTTATAAAACATGTGACTATAATATTTATTACTCTGGGGCATGGTGGATTAGTGGAGGACTTCGAAAATCAAAGCCTATCTCTACTTTCTCCAGAAAGTATGTGTATATGTGTGTGTGTGTTTTGTATATAAAAATGTTATTCTCTATAATTAGGAAAAACAAGACTTTGATTCAACCACAAGTCAACTGTGAACAACTTTGGCATTAAATTTTTATTTTCCAGAAAGTAGTCTATGTGCCTCTTTACTGTCAGAGAACTTCTGTCAGTGGATACCAACTGCTAATAAGGCTTTTAATGTGTTCATTGAACTTAAAAGCACCTTTGCAGCTTGGGATCTTGATAGGAGCTTTATAAATAATTACTCTAATCATCATATTTCATGGCATTGCTATAAACGCTCAGGTAGTGCCCCTAGTGTGCAGTTAGACACTGTTTCCACACACAGGTGTCAGAATAAGGCAGGTAGCAGGGGAAGTGGCCTCCCCAACCTGCCCAGCAGGGAGGAAGGGATTGGGAGGGAACTCTGGGCAAAGATCCAGGAAAGGCAAAGAAAGTTTCAATGGTAATGGGTGCCCCAAACCAAAGACAGTAACTCTGTCTTCCACAATAGGAGCATCCAGGACTTAAGGAAACAACCCAGCATAAGTCCTGGTGCCCTTTATGAGCCATTACCAGCTTTGAAAACCCAAAACTCAAAAGCCCAATGTGAACCCAGTGTCCAAGTCCAGAGAGGAAAAATGTACATAAGCGGCCTAATTACCTAAACTATCTCAACAAGATGTTCTCTTCTTATGGTCCAGCAACAGAGAAATCTTTTTTTTTTTTTTAAAGAGAGAGAGAGATGGAGAGAGAGAGAGAGAGAATTTTTTTAATATTTATTTCTTTTAGTTATTGGCAGACACAACATCTTTGTTTGTATGTGGTGCTGCGGATCGAACCCGGGCTGCACGCGTGCCAGGCAAGTGTGCTACCGCTTGAGCCACATCCCCAGCCCCCAGAGAAATCTTAATGAGAAAAATGCAGAGTTTTTATCAGAGTTTTGTGAGTTAAGATGAATCTCATACTTCCTCTTCTAGTAGAGACTCTCACTTCTAAGTGAGATGGATGTTGCAGAGGAATACATCAAACCCTTGGGTGTGGATGTTACTATTTGGGGCAGTGTATAATTTGTGCTGGGCATTGACAAAAGGACCTACCAAGACTAATGTGGCTTCTTTGTTTTTAGACTGTGGATTGAATGTGCACAAGCAGTGTTCCAAGCATGTGCCCAATGACTGCCAACCTGATCTCAAGAGGATCAAGAAAGTGTACTGTTGTGACCTCACCACACTCGTAAAGGCTCACAACACACAGAGGCCCATGGTGGTTGACATATGCATTCGGGAAATTGAAGCAAGAGGTTTGGAAAATACTTTTTTATGATAATACAGTGATTATATTTTTGCAGTTTATTTTCCTGTTGTCAGGGAAACAGACTCACTCTACTATCATTTTTGGGAAAATGAACTAACTGCACACATAAACACATACACATAGAGGATAAAATAATTCCTACCAACTCTCTCAATTTCCATTTCCCCAAGCCATGCATGTATGCCTTCAACAAATGTTTACTAAGCATCTACTATGTGCTAGAGATTAAGGATCTGAAAGTCTCCATTCTTGACTTCAAGAAATTCATATTACAGTGTGGAGAATCAGAAGGGCAAATACCTATTGTGGGTGTCCATATTTAAAGCACCATGGGGTCACAAAGGATGATGTTTTCATCATATTTGAGGATAATTAAGAAAGGTTATGGCAGGGAGAGTTTTGAAATAGATCTTAAAGCTGGGCATGATGGCATATGCCTGTAATCCCAGCAGTTTAGGAGGCTGAGGATCACAAGTTCCTGGATCACAAGTTCAAAGCCAGCCTCAGCAACTTAGTGAAACCCTGTCTCAAAATAAAAAATAAAAAGGACTGGGGATGTAGCTCAGTGGTAAAGCACCCTCGGTTCAATCCGTAATACCAAATAAAAAGGAAAGATGAAAGGAAGGAAGGAAAGGAGAGAGGGAGGGAAAGATAGGGAAAGGAGGAAGAGATAGATCTTAAAATGTTCTTCTATTAAGTAATACAGAAATTACTGATCAACACATACATCCACTACCATATAAAAATTCACTTCTAATATTGGTTCTGTTTATTTCAAAGAAAAGATTTCAAAGATTATAAAGATCTATGTAATGAAAAATCAAGTTGACAAGAAAAATAGTAACATTCCCCCCCCCAAAAAAAAGTTATTTATATTATGCTAGAATGATCTTTCCTTTATTTTTGCTTCCTTTGGCCACTATTCAGTATCAAATATTCAGGACATAATGGACCAGGTCTGATCGGGGAGAATTTGTGTTGCTGAATATAATTTGCATAATTGACCCGTGATTGTATTATATTCCACTACATTGGTATCCATTATTGTGTCCAAATTGCCTTAATATATTCTACAGGTTTCTATTCATTGGACAATGAGCCTATTCTTTCCAAAACAAAGCAGGACACTGTAGCTTGTTATCTCAAGTCTTTTAAAGATAGGAAATGATCCTGCTTCTCCTAAGGATGAAAGCTATAGTCCTTCTGAGAACTGGCTCATTTAATCTCAGATTGTGAGAAATGCCTCCTTCCTTTTCACCACTGTGGCTGTTAGAATTCAATGAATGCTTTGGGATCTGGTGAAGGTGTCCTTGCAAGGGCTGACTAGCCCAGGAGAGGAGAGGCACCCCAACTCTGGCTGAGACAAGTGGCCCTGGGTCCTACTGTGTGAAAGGTACTGCAAGTTTGGGGTCAGAGGCTGCATGCAGTCACAGCAAAGGACAGGAACTTGGCTTTATTGGAAAAGCTGGAATCCTGCTACAGTAATCCTTCTCCGAGTAACTTTAGGGATCCAAAGTTCCTGTCATGATTGACATTCAGGGAAGAAAGACCTTGGGGAGAATAGCCCTAAGTCTACCCAGTGCAATAGAAAGAGTGGCCCAGATTGGAAATTTATTCCAAGAGACTACACAGGGATTGGAGCTGCAGATGATAGAAGCCTTCAGGTACAAGCTGAATCCAGCAGTCATCTAGAAGAAATTCACATGACACCTTCCTACCTGCATGACCACCACTGCCCACATGACCCTGAGCAAGCCACTTGTGAGTGGAATCAATTACACTTTATAAGGTGGTTGTGAGGATTACATGAGTTGATACATATAACAGATCTAGTGTAGTGCCCAACATACAGGACCCGTGTTACTTCTTGTCACCTTCTCCCAGAATGACCAACCTCTAACTCCACCTCTCAATCTGCCTGTCTGACCCTATTAGCCCAGGTGTTTCAGTGCTGTCAAGAGATCCTGAATAATAGCATCTTCAACAAGACAGATATCTGTTTACCTCTCCAGGAACAATCCAGGCATTTGGCCGTGGTCTAGGTCTAGTCAGGCAGCTCCCTGGGGGCTGCGACCCAGGCCCTGCACCTGTTGCTCTGTCCTGCTTGAGCATTGCCCTTGTCTTCTCCCCCTAGTTGGCTGCCAGTGTCTCATCTGCATTCTAACCAACAGGAAGGGGGAAAGGACAATCTCTTTCCCTTTAAGGTCACAACGCAGAGGCTGTACGCATCACTTCTGCTCTCTCTGCATTGGCCAGAATTTAATGGACATTGCAGTGGATATTTAAAAAAAAAAAAAAGGTTCCATCACAACAGAGAGATGGGAGAGCAAATATGAAAAGGACAGCCGGCAGCCTCTGCCATTCTGACAAACTCCAACCCCTCCTTCATGACTTCCTTCAAAGATGAGCTCCTCAGCGAGGCCTGCCCACATTCATCTCCTGTCAACCTGCAGGATTAGTTGCCCAGCTCCGAGGCAGCACCTGTTCCAACATTATTGAGATAAGTTTTCCTGTGCCGTCTAGAATAGGATGGCACCCCGGTTTCATTCATCTTGTGGGTTAACTCCAGTTGATGAGCAGTGGCAACTGTTGCTGAAACAAAAGAGCTGAGATTAACTGAGAGGAGAGGAGAAAGGCCAGTATTTATGCTACATAGTGTTTTTTGTTTCTGATGCAAAGCTAATACAGATTCTTTCATATGGTATATAGAATATAAAAAAGTGTTTACCAAATTAACAAAAAACAGGAGCCTATATGCCAGTAATCAAGAGTTTGACAGCCAGGCACTGTGGCACATGCCTGTAATCCCAGCAGTTTGGGAGGCTGAGGCAGGAGGATTATAAATTCAAAGCCAGCCTCTGTAACTTAGTGAGGCCCTAAGCAACTCAGCAAGATCTTATCTCTAAATAAAATATAAAAAATGGCTGGGTATGTGGCTCAGTGATTAAGTACTCCTGGCTTCAATCCCTATTACCAAAAGGAAAAAAAAAAAGTGTTTGACAAAAGTATATTGCAAGAAGTATACTGCAATGGAAGCTATTTGTTTGCTTATTTTTTCCTATAGTTATAGTTTTGACAGCAGTTAACTTTTGGCATATGAATTCTGAAACCTGGACCTCTATTTATTTATTTATTTAAAGATACTGGGGATTGAACTCAGGTTCACTAGACCACTGAGCCACATCCTGAACCCTATTTTGTATTTTATTAGAGACAGGGTCTCACTGAGTTGCTTAAGGCCTCATTAAGGTGTTGAGGCTGGCTTTGAACTCACGATTCTCTTACCTCAGCCTTCCAAACCACTGGGATTACAGGTAAGCGCCACGGTGCCTGGCTCTGGTCCTCTATTTTTTCTGATACTTTTGATCTGATACATCACCCACTGTGTATATATGAGCAGCCTGCATTTAGAACCTATCTTAACAAATCAATAAACTTGAGGAGTGGAAAACAAGTCTCTTTGACCTAAATACATAGTGATAAAGTTCCAAAACCAGTAAATGGAATTTTATTTTCCTACATCTGTTTGTATGATCAGTTACCTGAAGGCATAACAATGAAATCAATAATGCTTAGTTATTTAACATATCATCTTACGATTACACATAAAAAATTCATAAAATTTTAATATCTCCAATAGAATCAGGATAATATGCATTACACCCACATAAATATGTATGTGTATCCAGCACAGTGCCACAGACAGCATAACCCATGGAAGAGGACAGGGTTTCGGCCAGATTGCTTCCCTTGTGAAATGGGTGTCCAGCAATCTGATGAACAAAGGAAGTAGGAGACTATGGTTAATGAGAACCTTAAATTTGGGGGTTGCTTTGTAAATCCAGGCAGGAAGAAGGCCAGATCTCCATTGAGATCCCCAACCTAACAAGCAAAGGGACACAGACTTACATGGAAATGGGACAGGCAATCCAAGTTCTGACTCAACAGTGTGTGCCATAGAAGATCACTAATAATATTTGTTCATTTACTCATAGCACATAGTGTACATTTAAAATTAATCTTTTTTTAAGATATTTTGAGACACTGAGATTAAAGTGTATGTCTCTCTCCCCCTCCCTTTCTCTCCCTCTCCCTCTCTCACCCTCCCTTCCCCCACTTCCCTCCCTCTGTCCCTCCCTCCCTGCACCCCACAGGATTAAAGTCAGAAGGCCTTTACAGAGTGTCTGGGTTCACTGAACACATTGAAGATGTCAAGATGGCCTTTGACAGAGGTGAGTTTGTGCTCTCTTGAATGCCATCTGACTTAGCTCAGTACTCCTCTGATGGAACCAGACTCATTCATAGTAGGAATTGAGCTTCAGAACTACTGAGTATTATTCTTCAGGAAGCTGAGCAATGATGCTTTAAAAATATCCCAGTTCTCTCTCTCTGGGGGAAGTGTTTCCTTAGAAACTGTGGACAGGTGACCACATGAGGAGGAAGTGAGTTTAACCATTTGAAAGCCAGCCAGTCCACATGGCCCTGGAGCACTCCTCTGCATGCCCATCTTTTTTCTCTTCTCTCAAAACTCCACAAAAGGGAGCATACGGATGAGAGTCACCAGCGCTGAAGGAGGGGAAGCCAGGGGAAGTTTAGGAGGTACCTCCTCTGTTATTTATGATTACAGCATACAGTTCCCAGTGCCTATCATCTCTTAGATCAGACATAGGCCAACCTGGAGAACTTGTTAAAAATACAGACCACCAGGGCCCACCTTGAGGACTCATGCTGAAATCTGGATGAGCCCAAGTATCTAGATTTTTAATAAACAATCCACATAATTCTAGTACAGCCAGTCTGGGCCTGGGGTGCCTACTGGATAGAGTGTGGTCCACAAGGTCTTCCATGATGTGGCCTCCCTATCTGCTCAAGCCAATCTCCAGTTCCTCCTCCATAATGGACCTTACATGCCAGCCTCCCTGAAGGACACTTTACATGCCATCACAGAGAAGCACCCAAGTTCACATGTTCTGTCTATCTGGAATGTGTGCATGTTTGTCTGGCAAACACCTGTGAATCATGAGTCAAGTCTTCTGTTGTTCACGAAGCCTCTCTGGCCACCCCACGCTGACCTGAGAGCTCTGTTTCCGTCCCCTGCATCACTGTGTGCTCATATGTCTCCAGGGAGCATCCCTTCTTCTTGTAACTGACAAGTTGTGATTTCTCTCTAGCTGGAACTATTCGAAGGGAGCATCTCTTTTCTTTGATTCACCAGAGCCTAACTGTGTTTGCCCCATGCTAGATTCTCAATAAATGTTTGCTAAATATGTAAATGATGGGATCAATATGGTATATATGGCAGGAAGAAGGTTTTACTATTGTCTCTACATCCAAGAGCTGTTTTGTTTCCAGAACCAAATTTGCTAAAGCATTTGTTCATTTCATTTTCCACACAAAAGATGTTAATAGTCCCATGTGATCGAAACATTTTTTTTCATGTCTTTATACATGATTTTTTTTTGCAATACAATTCTTATTACACATATTTACCACAATTTTTCATATCTCTGTTTGTATATAAAGTAGGTTGACACCCAATTCATACATGTACTTTGGATAATGATGTCCATCACATTCCATCATCCTTGCTAATCCCTGCCTCCTCCCTTCCCTCCCACCCCTCTTCCCTATCTATAATTTCGAAACTTTTTTTAATCCAAAAAATTTCATAGTCAGAGGTAGTTAGAATGGACTGGTATTTACTAATGGTAGAATAAGAAGTAAATATATAAATATGTGTGTGTGTGTATACTGAGAATGATTGCAAAAAGTGCTAATAAATGCAACCTCACCTATACATGAGGCGAGGTTAAAATTTCCCAGATTGAAGTCCAAGGGGCTAAGTGAGCCTGAAAGAGACAGAAGTAACTGAAGGAATTCAACAATTAGTTCATGTACATGACCTTCAAATCCAAGTTCAAAGAATACTGATGGAGATGTAGTAGAACTGTTCATTGTTGTATCTTTCTTTGATTTTCTTTCTTTCTTTCCTTCCTTCCTTTTATCTCTTTCTTTCTCTCTCTCCCCCCCCCCCCTTCTCTCTCTCCCTCTCCTTCTCTCTTTCTCTCTCTCCCTCCTTTCTGTGCATGCCTTCACTTGGTGAAATACGGTCCTCATTAGGACTTGGATTGCTGGCTGTTTTTCAGATGGGGAAAAGGCAGACATTTCTGCCAACATCTATCCAGACATAAACATCATCACTGGAGCCCTGAAACTGTACTTCAGAGACTTACCCATCCCTGTCATCACGTATGACACCTATTCCAAATTTATAGAAGCAGCAAGTGAGTATTGAGAACTAATTTTTTATTTGTACCAGACTTTCAGTACATTGCTTTCACCCTCAAGAAAATTAAAACTCAGAACTGTTGAAATTATTGCCTGAGCATTTTGCCAAGTGGGCACAACAGTACAGTTAATAGAAAACCAGGCATAGCTCACCAGCTGAGCTGGACCAGCACTAAGCCAAGTCTGTGGGGCAGAAGCCGGGTGCCAGGCAGTTCTGTCTCTCCCAGTCACTCCCTGTACACTGAGAGCCAGCACAGTCAGGCCCATTCTATTGTTGAAAACGTGAATAGTTTTGTAGTAAAAAAATCAAATGTTCTCCAAGGAGAGCCGTATTGATGAGCTCCTTGCATCCTCTAAGCAGAATCACATTGAGAATGGATCCAAGTTTTGCCCATTAGTGCTCTTCGAAATTAATAGAAGGCCAAGAATAAACTATGCCAAGTATCACGCTACAACCTCTCACCCATCGGCACTCATCCTTCCTCAGCCACCGTGGCTCATTCCCTGCTTCCCACCAGGCCCACTGCCCTCAGGAGAGAGTGGAATAAAAGCAGAGGGAATATCAGGGAAGTAGCTATGTTTTCCCAGGAACAATTAATAATGAGAAAGGGGAGAAGCATGACAGAGAAGTTAATCCCACCTTGAGGAACATTTTTTGGTTCACTTTTTTTTTTTTTTTTAATCTTTAATGGTTGAAAAGTACAGGTTTGTGCTGCTAAATATTCTAATGAAATACCTGACAGGAAGAGACAAGGGCAGGTTGGGATTCACGCAAGCTGTACTTTCCAGATGAGTTATGGCCCTGCTCCCTGTTAAGACCGTTCCTTCCTGGATTCTGGTGGTCTTAGGCAGGGAAGGCTGGGTACCTTCCACCCCAGGAGGAATGGCAGGAAGGCTTTCTTTGACTGTCTGCCAATACTGTCGGAGACCCGGACTCCAGAAGCATGTCCTCTTCCTGGCATGTGCCCAGTATCTACATCCTAACCTGAGCTGTACACCAAAGTAGACCCTGCCAACAATCTAGTGATACATGCCATTAATGCAGGCTGTGTTGGCTGGCCTACCTGCCAATGTACTTGCATTGAAAATGTATTTAGTGGGCTGGGATTGTGGCTCAGTGGTAGAGCGCTCGCCTCGCACATGCAAGACCCTGGGTTTGATCCTCAGCACCACATAAAAATAAACAAGTGAAATAAAGGTGTTGTGTCTAACTACAACTAAAATATAAAATATCAAAAAAAAGAAGGAAAATATATTTAGTGATTGAAGCCTGTCAGGGAGAGACTTACTAGACAATTTCAAGGGCACAACACCAGAAGTAATATAGCTTAGAGTCTGTGTTAGTGAGATCCCCAACAAATCTAGTGTTCAGAAGGGCAGTGTAGTCTGCACGTGTCCCGCCAGATTATAAGCATTCTCCTGGGCCATCTGCTCCTGGAGGACGAGGACAGAATCCACCATCTGACCACCCACATCATGAATGTTCAACAAGCTTGTGGTGCTCAGCCCAGACTTTCTGTAATGAGGCAGGGCACAAACTGACTCATTTAAGTGAAACAGTATCTGAAATTACATGACTTTGTTAGACTCTCCCCATTTCTGGATAAAACAAACAGAAAGATTTCTTGTTAGCTCTCTGAAAACGTTAATGGTACAATATAGCTCTGCACTCATATGGGTTCTATATGATCTTCACAGAAATCTCCAATGCGGACGAAAGGCTGGAAGCAGTCCATGAAGTGCTGATGCTACTGCCTCCCGCCCACTATGAGACCCTGCGGTACCTAATGATCCACCTCAAAAAGTAAGCGGATGCCTCCTCTTACTGATCTGCCCCTGGGGCAGTTAGTGCCTCCCTGATGCACAGAATGAGCAGGTGCTTCTTGAAAGTGGACTGTGCTGCCTCCTGGGGCTAGCCCCACACGTGGCCGCGAGGGCCTTTGCTCTGGGTCAAGAGCTGCTTCACGTACTTTCCATGTGTCATTCCTGGGAGGTGGGTACTGCTGGGAGCACTCACTTTCAGGGGCCATGGATGAATTATGGGTTTGTTTGAGCCATCTCAAGGCAGGGGGGTTGCTCTTCTGAGAACTCTCAGTGAAAACCCCCTGATTCAAGACCACTCAGTTTATGTGGACACCCTGCTCGTTGGCTCAGACAGTCCTGGGTTCAAACACAGCACCCAGAAGTAGAGGAGATGGGCATACCCTGCTAAGCCCCAACCAGGTTGTTTTTGTCACCTCATCCAGTTTTCCTCAGGAAGTTCTTTACACTGGATCCCATTGGTTCCTACCCATTTAAATAAAGCGTGGGCTCCATTTTGTTGTCAGATCCAGTCTCCATCAGAGCTGGATCATCCAACCATGCCCCCACTTTTCACGTATTTCCATGTCTTGTCTTTATTTCTTAAATTTCTCATAACTTTAATATTTCTAATCTGACTCACCACCCTAGTTCAGGGAAACTGAGTAAACATCAGTACACATTGGATTCAACAATGGATTACACAGTGGAATACACATCAGATGTCTGAATCTTAGAGAAGTTAAGTGGCCAATCCACAGAGGTGAACCCAAGTTTGAAATCCAGGAAGAACGAACCAGAGCCCACACTCTGTCTTAACTACTTGTCTACCCTGCCTCCATAGCTGCATCTTGCTCCAATACATGCCTCGTACTTACTTCATCTCATCTTCCACCAACTGCTCACCCTAACCCCTGATGCCTGGAACCGGTCTTTCAGAGCACATTTCCAACATGATCTCTTGTTTTTGTTTTTCTGTGTCTCCAAGCAAAAAAAAATTCCCCAAAACTTAGTGGTGGCTTGAAACAATAAAATTAATTATCTCATAGTCTCTATGGGCCAGGGATCTGGATATGGTTGAGCTAGGTGCATCTGGTTCAAGGTTCTTAATGAGTTTGCATTTGAACTGCCCGTCAGGCTGCAACGTCATATGAAGGCTTGATGGGAGAAGCAGTCACTTCTAAGTCACTCAGAACATTGTTGGCAGGACTCGGTTCCTCAGAGGTTATTAGGCTGAAGGCTCACTTCCTCACTGGATGTTTGCTGGAGGTCACCCTCATTTCCTTACCATGTGGGTTTCTCCACAGGCAGCTCACAAAATGGCAACTGACTTCCTTCCAAGCAAGCAAGCAAGCAAGGGCACCCACGATGAAAGACGGTCTTTTTGTCTTTTTAGAAGTGACGTCCTATTGCCTTTGCTATATTGTGTTTCTTAGAAGCAAGTGACTAAGTCAAGCCCATACTTCCAGGAGGCAGGGACTGTTGGGGGCTATCTCAGACAGGATCTACCACACACTAAGCTATGTATGTGGAAGCCTGCAGGTGGAGATGTTTGGATGTTTCCAGGATATTATAGCCTTAAATCTTCCCCTTAAATCTCTTTTTCCTTCCTTGTACATTTATTATGAGATTAACAAGTTGTTCTTTGAATATTGGAGGGATCAGTGTGCTTCTATGTGTCTCTCCCTGTTTGTTGAAGATATATGTCAGCTGCCCTTTCTTAGATACAACGGACCAAAAAGTGTCTACAGTGTCCAAATTACAGATCCACTCAGTAAGTAAAAAGAAGCAAGTTGAGAATATTGTATAAGTTTTTCTGCCTTATAAGAATTTTGCTCAGATCCAAGGTGATCAGAGACAGTAACATAAAGCTCAGAAGATTCCTATTTTGATGAGTTTACTGAATGTAAGAGTGTAATGATTTTGGGATATGTAATAGACTATGAGTGTCACATCTGACTTTTAGCTGCAACTTGTTTCTTTCATTTCAATTAATATCATAATTAATTAAAATGATAATAACACTTTGTAAAGCAAAGTGTCTCTATCAGGAAGAATGCTGGCAGCTCCCAGCTGAACTGTAAATGTCAATAATTTCAGGGTTTTATTTTAATGGGTTTGCTAGACATTTTATTTGATCAGGTGTAGTGCTTAACCTCATAAGGCGATGTGAGTATTTTGAACCTCTAGCATGTCTTCATTCCTACCTTCTTCTTAGCTTTGCAGCATGAAAATGATCCAAACTGAGTTGACTTCCTAAAATAATACTAAGCGGCTATTCCTAATGATCTCTCATGGAGTAATCAGAAAGGGATGGCCTCCAGTACAAAACCTAAACACATTTTCATTATCATTTGCTCTGCTTTGAAGAACCTTCTTCTTTTTAGATCTATGATGAACAGTCTAAAGCCTAAATTCCTGAAAGCAAGAATCTGGGAGATAGTGATTCTATTGCATTAGGAAGGAAGGAAGCCAACTCTGGCGTTTGAATTTCATTCCTAAAGGCTCTGCTATTCTTATTTTCATGTCAAAATGATGATTTTCAATTCCAACGATAATTAGTGCTCCAGACCTCATTCTGTGGGAACTAGAAATAATGCCCAACCGCCTTCCAGTTTGGCCACCCCCCAGGGGTTCCACTGTCCCATGATAACGGCCTGGCTACATTCTACAAGCAAGCATTCTCCTGTGGCACCAGCCCTCCCAGCAGACAGGAACTGCACTTAGCTTCCCATTCTGCAGCTTACAGGCCAATAGGAAGCGACAAGGAAAAAGATGTCCATAGATGACCCATAAGCCAATTGGTAATCCTCTGCCCCTCCAAACCAATATTCCTTAAATGATAGTTTCATATTTATTTAGTGAGAAGGGCTGATTTTCCAATTTTTAAAATTGTGTCTATACTAGATTCATATGTCATTCACTTCCACTGGCCGAAGGCAACATTAACAATTTAAAATAAAAACAAATCGGAAAATTGCCTATTGAAAAAATGCCTTTCTGCCATTCTGATTCGCAATTTGCTTTTGCAATTTCCTGAGCCAGAGATAGTCTTGGGATTTAAGTATGTAATCAGTATGGAAATTCATCCGCATGTCTACATGACGTCTCTGTGTGTATTTGTTTTGCAGGGTTACTATGAATGAAAAAGACAATTTCATGAATGCAGAAAATCTGGGGATCGTGTTTGGGCCCACCCTGATGAGGCCCCCTGAGGACAGCACTCTCACCACCCTCCATGACATGCGGTACCAAAAGCTGATTGTGCAAATTTTAATAGAAAACGAAGATGTTTTGTTCTAATCCATCAGGGAGATGAGCTGAATGGCCCCAGCCCTATCCAAGCTGATAGAGCTAAAGAAATAAACATTTCTTACACTTGATTTGCTTTTCAAACAAGTGACAGAGTTTCCTGGACCGCAGTGGATCGCAGAGTCTAGTACTGTGTCTCATAGACACGCCCTCCTCCACATGAGAACAAGGGTGAGGGCGAGAAAAGCCCCTGGCCTTGGGTCTTTTGCCGTGCCTCGTATGTATGTCTGTTTTGCTGGAAGAGTGATTAATAAATCTTTCTTTAACTTATTAAAAAAATGTAACTTTTAAGCTTCAGTCTTATCAGTAATAAAAGGGAACTTAATTCATAAAGGTACTTGATACAGTTATACATTTTCCACTTACAAAAAAGAAGACAATTCTATATGTTAAATGTTAAATGAAACCTATATTGTAAAATGTATTTTTATTTTAGCTGCAAGAATGTTATTTTATTTTAGCAAACAGAACTCAATGCAGTGCATTGATTATTACCCTGTGTTCCTTGTCCCAAGTTCTTGCTGTGATACCCTGAAGAAGTTGACCACGAATGCAGTATTACCTTGACATACCTCTGTCCTTATCAATGCTTTTCAGTGAAATTTCACCTGCCACATGTGTCCCTGCTTTTGATAGTTTTTGCTCTTAAGCACTGGCATTCTGCTATCGTGTAGTGTAGGTTTATAGCAATTATAGGATGGCCTGAAGCATCCCCAGATTTTCTTCCCATAAAAAAAATTGTGAATTCCCAAAGTATGTTTTGAAATTGGTCATGGTCCTTTCATATTATGTGTGTATATCCTCAAACATGCAGAATGCGGCTGTTTTACATAAAACAATTTGAGGACACAGGATGTTATCTGGGCCATGTAAAAAGTTAGCCCTTGGCCTCTTTCCTCTTTGGCCAAGCTTTTAGAGCTCATACCTTAATGAAAAGTTGAAATTTTTTGTCACATTTCGGTATTGATGCATAGTGAACCTGCAGAATAACTGTCAATTATTTGTATTTTTGTTTTATAAACAAAACTATTTTTAAAGTAAGAATGAATAGGTTGATTTTTGCCAGCTATATCTTCCTCCTTGAGAAAAGTAGCCCTGTTTGGAAAAATTTCATATGATTTTATTTCTGTAGTTCCATCCTATTGGCTATATGGATCTTTAGCATGAGCCTTTCCCACCAAGATTTCTATATTTTGTAACATAGGTGAAATATTTAAAACATCAAAAACTGTAAATCTAGATTTGTTTTTTAAATCCAACTGCCATGTCTTTCCCTCTGATTGTCTGAGGTGATTCATGTAATTATTCACAAGTCTCGTTTTGGAGTGGCCAGAAGAGAATCACTGTGTGTTATGTGGCGTGAAAGGAGGAGCAGAGTGTGTTGTCCTGGGGAGTCCTCGGGGCCCTGCAGATGGACAGATGGACTCTATTTGCACCTAGGGGTCAATATAGCTTGGCCTGGTCCCTGCTATTGGCGTTCCTCTCAACTGTACAGATTTGTTTGTTGTAGCTTATGTACTTCTTGATACTGTCAAAAAATTATCTGGAAATGGTTTTATTTTGTGAAGTGAACAATACTTTGTAATTTATGATAGTGTAAATGGAAGGACAAAGCATTACATGTATTAAATTCTTCTGTCTATCATTCTGGTATATTTTCAGGGAAGTGGTATCTGGGAGAGGCTGGGGGAAATTTTTCAAAACCTTGTTCTCATATATTTGGTGATAGATTTTTCTATCATTAACAACCCAGGGGAGAAAGCAGAAGTGGCTCATAGAGTCCCCACCTGGCTGACCCACTCCTCCCCAGCTTCCTTTTTCTTACCCGCCTCCAGGTTCAGATCCCAGTGCTTCACCTTCCCTTTCTAGAAGGCTTCATTGCATTTCTGCCCTGCAAAGAGAGGTAGAGTTTAGAGAGAACTGCCCTACATCAATGAGGAGAGAAGAACAAGAATTTTGAAATCAGAAAGGCCCTAGCTGGAATTCTTGATCTGTCTGTTACCAGCTGCAGATGACCTTGGAAATGAGTTTGCTCATCTGACAAATTGGGGATAACATTGTGATCCTCACATATTATCAGTAATAGTTATTCCTTATTATTATTTTAAGAGTCATGACTTAGAATGGGGAAGAATATAACATGGGGGCAGGGATGAAAGAAGCACGAAAAGAAAAGGATTCGTCCAAGGTTAAGTCCAAGTCTAAGTAATATTAAGGGATATTACAACATGCTCTATAAAATACAGTGAGGTTCACTCTATCCGGTGTGCTTCCAACACTCGATCCCTCTGCTTCTCTTTAGTATGAAGCCTGCTTACCCACACCTGCCTCCCTACCATCTTGACATGGCTCACCTTATTTGCTTTGAAATTCCTGCTATTATAATAACTTTGATAGTTAGATGGTAAAGGAGGCAGCACCGTTCCCAGTAACCCACTATGGAATGGTCCACCACTAAGTTTTGGGGGGCAGGGAGGGATGGAGGAGACCCATTATTCTCTCCTGTTAACACAAACTGATATTTCAGATTTCCTGGTCATGACAGGGGTGCTATAAAAGAGAGGATGGTCCATAACAAAGAATGAAATTATGGCATTTGCCAGTAAATGGATGGAAATGGAGACTATCAAGCTAATAAGCCAGTCCCAAAAATCAAAGACCAGACATTCTCTATGTGGATGATAACACACAATAAATAAGGTGTGGGAGGGAAGAATAGAAGTTCATTGGAGCCAGCCATGGTGGCTGAGACAGGAGGATCATGAGTTCAAAGCCAGCCTCAGCAATGGCAAGGTACTAAGCAACTCAGTGAGACCCTTTCTCTAAATAAAATATAAAATAGGGCTGGGAATGTGGCTCAGTGGTCGAGTGCCCCTGAGTTTAATCCCCAATAAGAAGGAGGAGGAGGAGGAGAAGAAGAAGAAGTAGTAGTAGTAGTTGTTGTTGAAGTTGTTCATTGGATTAGACAAAGGGGAATGAAGAGAAGTGGGATAGGAAAAGGAAAGATGGTAGAATGAACTGGACATAATTTTCTATGTTCATATATGAATACACAACCAGTGTAACTCCACATCATGTACAACCACAAGAATGAGATTTTAAATTATACTCCATGTATATACAATATGTCAAAATACACTCTACTGTCATGTATATCTAAAAAAAAAACAAATAATGTTTTTAAAAAAATGGGGCTGGTAAAGGATTCAAGGAGAGCAGCCTAATAGGACAAATGAAGGAGAAGAAGAGACAGTGTAAAGAGCATTGGAAAGAAACATTATGGAAATGAAGTGCTGCTGGGCTGTTCTGACCCCACTGACAATCAAATCCCATGGCATATACATGCCCAACTTTCATCAAGCCCCTGTGTATAGTCTTTCATTTTTAAAATGCAGCATTTATTCATTTTCAACAAATATTTGTAAAACATTTATTAATGGGCCAGGAACTGAATACTTAGGGTCAAGGAAAAGGCTTATCTTATGGGAAGAATTAAATAATAAGTTTGATCTGGCTAGAGAGAGGAAACTGGTCATGTTAAAGGTTTTGAACTCTAACATAAGGGGAATGGGAGCTACTAATGTTTTCTTTTTAAATAAACTTTTAGTTATGGAATGGGTTTATATTTAGTTCTTATGTAGCCCCTTAACAAACTTCCCCTTGTTATGGTTTGGATGTGAGGTGTCCCCCAGAAGCTCACATGTGAGACAATGCAAGAAGGTTCAAAGGAGAAATGATTGGGTTGTGAGAGTCTTAGCCCAATCAGTGAATTAATCCCCTGATAGGGATTAAGTGAGTGGTAACTGAAATGGTGGGGTGTGGTTGGAGGAGGTGGGAATTGGGGACATAGCTATTGGGTATATATTTGTATCTGGCAAATGGAGACCTCTTTCTCTGCCTTCTGATCACCATGTAAGCTGCTTCCCTCTGCCACACTCTTCTGCCATGGTGTTCTGCCTCACCTCACGCCCCGAGGAATGAAGCCACCCTTCTATGGACTAAGACCTCCAAAACTATGAGCCCTCAAAGAAACTTTTCCTCCTTTAAAATTGGTCTGGTCAGATCTTTTAGTTACAGCAGCACAAAAGCTGAATAAAACACCCCTAACATTAAAATCTTACCCAGCCACAGTATATCTACCAAGACTAAGAAAACAGCTGGCACACTACCACTTGCTAAAGCCCAGACTTTATTCAAATTCCATGGGTGTTTCTGTTAATGTCTTAATTTCTGTTCCAGGACACAACCGAGGCCACGGCATTGCACTTAGCATTCATGGGTGATATGGGACAGATGGTACAACCTGAGCTACACTGTTAAAAGATGACTTACTTGATGTGTAAGCAGGTAGGGAGTGGTGAGGGCAAATGCAGTGGGTCATGTGTTCATTGTTGTCATTGAAGACAGAGATGATGGTAGCCTGGATTGAGTAGCAACAAGATAGAGATAAATAGAAATGGCTTAGGAATAGAAGTTTGGTTATAGTTTGGACCAAGGAATTCATGATGAGCCATAAGTTGCTTAATATGGCAACCGTAGAATATTTACTGAAACGGAGATACACAGAAAGTAGGGGCTACTGGGTAAAAGAAGTAGAAAGTTTTGGACATGATGAAATGGAGACGTGTGTGCAAGTTTCAAGCAGAGTGTTATGTGAGTAATTGAATCAACAGACCTGGGCTGGAAATATGAATTTGGAGTGACTCTGTAGAGATAATAATTGATAACCCAGGATTGAATAAAAATACCCAAGAATACAGAACAGAGAAGTACAGAGGAGGCCCCATCCAGAGTTTTCTGGAGTACCAACATTAAGGATGGAGGAAGATAAAGGAGAAAAGACAAATGATGTAACAAATAATGTAACAAAATATAGAGGATCTCACAAGTACAATTCTATTCCATCTTTAGGTTTGCTTCACGATGTCCTAATACATTTAATTGTTCTGCTTAGATTTATTTTGCTACATGAAAGCTATCATGTTAGAACCTGTGCTTTGGAGAGATTTACTTAGATACTTCTTAAATGCTAATAGTGCTTTGCTTTGATTGTTTGGTTCTCCCCTGCCTCCTCCCCACCCCCCAAAAAAATTCAGATGTTGAAACCTAATCCCCAGTGCAGTGGAACTCTTGGGAGGTGATGAAATAGGTCATGTGGGTGGGTCCATCATTAATTGGGTTGGTATTCTCATAAAAGAGGGCACCCTTATCCCTCTTACCACATTAAGACCCAGTAAGGAGATAATGGTCTACAAGCCAGAAGCAGACCCTTACCAGACACCAATTCTTCCAGCACCTGGGTGTTGGACATTCTAGTCTCTAGAATTGTAAGCAATAAAATTGTATTGCATATAAGTCTCCCTATACATGATTTTTGTTATAGCAGCATATGTGGACTAAGACAATCAGTGGTATTGTTGCCATTTCCTAAACTGAGTTCAAAAGATTGTTTTATGACACTCGAGGATCTTCCTACTACTGTTTGTGCATACTTCTAATACAGAGCATTACAAAGTACTACAATTATACATGCAACTGTCTCCCACTAAAACCCAAACTCCTTGAGATCAAGAACCATGTGCACTTGCATGGATACCAAATAGCACATCTCTACTCATCTTACGAATCCCAACTCAATGGCTTCCTCCCTTTTGAGGCTTTCCAGGACTTCTCCAGGCAGAGAACATAGGAGGTGCCAGCCATAAACATGTAAAAGCAATTTATGGATTGTTCAGAAAGCTATAGAGTTGGTTTAACCAGAGCATAAAGTGTGAGGGTACAGGAAGCAGAATGAGATAAAATAATCAGTACTAGGCGAGAGAATAAAGAACCCATGTACAAAGCAAAAGGATAGACTTCAAACAGACTTAAAAAGATCTATCACATGGCACCTGAAGGATAGACCAGAGGTTGTAAGGCTAGAGACACAAAGTTAATTAGGAAGCCGTTATAGGCAATGATAGCTTGACTTGGATCAAAGAAGGAGGAATGGAGAAGAGAACTGGATATGAAAGTGATTTTAGAGGTAATCAGGATTTACTGATTTACTGATAAAACCTATGAAATTTTTATGGGTCAGCAGGCTCACAACTTTTGGAATGGTCAAGGTGACCCCTCCCCACCTCATGAAAAATCCCAATGTAGCAAGGTCAATATATGCTAATATTTCATATAGATTCGACTTCTTAAGCATCAATTATTGACTTTTAATAATGGGACAGTCATTAACCTATAAGAATCAGTAGGCCTATCAAGAAAGTTTTACTGCACATAAAATAAAACTCTAATATAAAAGACTTAAGCAATGAGGACATTTATTATCTCAACAAGAAGTCTAAATGTAGTGGCCTGGAGTGGTGGTGCATGCCGATAATCCCAGCTACTCAGGAGGCTAAGGTAGGAGGATTGCAAGTGTAAGGCCAGCCAGGGCAACTTAGTGAGAACCTATCTCAAAATTTAAAAATGTTTAAGAAGAGCTGTAACAGAGAACTGGAGATGTAGCTCAGTGGTAGAACATTTGCTTAAGCATGTGCAAGGTCCTGGGTTCGATCTCCAGCACCACCCAAAAGAAAAAAGATGGAAAGAGAGGCTGGGTATTGTAGGTCAGTGGTAGAGCACACAGTCTGGGTTCAATCCCCAGTACTATAAGAGAGGGAGGGGGAGAGGGAAAGCTACAGAGTTGGTCTAATCAGAGCATAAAGTGTGAGGGTACAGGAAGTATAATGAGATTAAATAATCAGTATAGGTGAGAGAATAAGGAACCCATGTACAAAGCAAAAGGATAGACTTCGAACAGACTTAAAAAGATCTATCACATGGCACCTGAAGGGAGGGGGGAGAGGGAGAGAGGGAGGTGGAAAGAGAGAGGAGAGAGATATCTCCACTTGCCAA